TTTGAAATTTGTGCTTGGTCAATCAAATAAATGCAGCCACCCAATTTCACATCCAGTAGTCAAGATTAATTGTGACCATCTTTTACCAAAGGTAAATGATCACATTATATACTTTTCCTTAATTATTTTAAAGATTCATGCAACCGACCCCAATTAGCCTCGTCATCAAAACCAGCTTCCAATTGCTCTTTGTAAAAAGGCTTTTGACGATGATAATAGATATCAATATAATATCTAGTGAAGTTGATTTCTTAAAAATAATCCATCTATTAATAGGCTCAAGAAAACTAACAACTATTGCTTCCTTTTCCTCTCTCTCTTCCTTCGATATAAGTTGTTAATTAGATATGGAAAATTATTTCAAGCGGATTGGACTACATTTCTACATATGCGGTCCAGAAGTATAAAAGATCCATTTTAAAGATGGATGCCAGTATGTGGTCCATCTAAAAATAATTGAAACTAATGGTCCAAATATTTTAGTAATAGAATTATTATTTTTAATTTTAATAATTTATTTATTTTTCATATTCATGATCTGAGATTACATATCCTTAAAAATTAAGTCTAAAAAGCTCTCTCAAAAAATAGATTTATTATGGGGCCTGCATTTCTGCATGTGCGCGCTTGGTAAGCATGCTAACCACATCCATTAGATATTAAGGCATCATTTGTTTACCTGAGTGAATCCTTGCCTAGAAGCTAGAGGAGCGGAAAAGGGTTTGGAGGGTTAGATTGTATATTTATAATCGATAAATACAAAATAAGATATTTTCCCCTTAGTACAAAAAGTCGCGATTACCTTGAGCCATAAGATATGAAATCATGCAGTTGAAAATATTCCATTCAAAGTTTTAAAAACTTGTCCTCGGCCCATGTGTTGAGAAATAACAGTGTCCAATTGTTTGATTCTACAATTGAAAGTTACAGATAAGGGTGTGGTTTGTAAAGAGCCTAGGCTCTAATCAATCAAATTAGAGCCTACCTTCAAATAGTGTCGATAAATATGGTTTCAACATTGAAAATCTTTGTGATAGCCTTAAAATATATTTTCATAATTTATTTATAAAGTTTAAAGCTTAAAAAATAGTGTATATAGATATATTTATGAAAACTTGAAAATCTTGAAAATTGATGGTAAAAAAATGCATTACAAAATACAATATTTCCAAAATTTGAAATCTACTTTGTTCTCATGTCCTTGCATCTTGATGTCGAGATGATCAATTTGAGGATATTTTGAGGTAGGATCTAATTTGATTGTTTATAGCCTCGGCTCTACATAAATTTTTTCCTATAGATATTATGACCTTTGTGGGTGAAAGGTAAGGTCTCACTTTATACATTCCCTTTTAATACAGTGTCAAGTATTTAGAAACCACAATATGAAGAAGATGTAATATTTAATGCAAGGTTCCATTGCCTGACTTTGGTCCCATGTGGTTCCCTGTAGTAGTTGTGGGATGCGGAAAGGGGCTAGGGTCGAGGTGGTAGCACCCCCATACACTAGTCACGACGTTGTGGTTTTCATTCATACTAACACTACCCTAATAACACCTTAAAAAAACTAACTCCTTCAAAGAAAGAAAGAAAAAAATTACTCAAAAAAAAAGAAAGAAAAAAAAAAATGGTAGATTATGTAATGAGAAAGTCTCCCGTCCACATCATGTGGACTGTGAATAGTGGAAGGATACACAAGCACCAACCCTTCCTACGATTCAGATTGAACCATATCATATCTAATGGTTTAAGTTTGATTTCATATTTTATTTATTTAAAATTTATTTTACCTTAAATTTAAGACGTGGGTTCTTTTTTATAAGTCACAACACATAAAAGTAATAAAAAAATTATTTTCAATCAAATAATTTACCAAAATACCTCCAAAATTTAGTTAATTTATTTCATGCAAAATATTTTTTATTATGTTTATTTCGTATGCAATTTAAAACTAAATAAATGTCCCAAAATTTAGGTAAAAATTATTGTCAAATTAAAAGTAAAAAATAAAAACAAAATTAATTTTTGATCGTTGTGCACCCTTCAAGCATGCACATCATGTGGACACTATGTTACCCTTATATAATTACTGCCTACTATTGTTTTGCAAAAAACAGTTGTTGTTGGAAGACCGGGAATATTTCTTCAGCAATTTAAGTATTTGTTAGCACTTAGCAGCCTCCACATTATTCTCAAAATTAAAGGTATTGAAATTTGTATGGCAAACAATAATTCATGTAATCAACCCTAAATAGTTGGAAAAATGTTATGATGATGATGATGAGAGGCATTGAAATCGAGTAGTTAGATATATGCCACTCAAATATTGAGAAAAAATTCCTTAGGCTTTGGGTGGAAAAATTACATGGTCCAACCTGTCGATTCTATAATTGAAAGTTATAGATATTTTTTGACCTCTGTGTATGAAGGTCAAGAATCACATTACATATTATCTTTTAACACAATGTCAAGTATTTCAAATAATATTTTAAACCCAGTGATTTTTAATCCAAATGTGAAATCGGTCAGGACTGAATAGTTATAAGATGGTATGGGTCCTAGCTTGGTTCCCCCTTAAACCCCCATTTTCATCCTTTTTTTTTCCTTTTTCTTTAAGTTTATCAAATATTGTATGTGATCCCCCCTATATCACCTCCCTATAAACGTCTATTTTACTTTTTATTTTATTTGATTTATTTTATTATTTTTGGATTACTAACCATATAACTCAGGACGATATGGATCACCAATCTAGACTTGAATTGGGGGTAGATGATCCAGCTCATTGATCCATATTTTAAGAAACTGATTTCGAAGCCAAAAAAAGAAAGGAGAAAAATAAAAGAAATGGTAGATTCTATAATCATAGCTTATTATTGTTTTGCAATGAGAGAAAATATCTCCATACACGTGTACTATTTCCCAACCTAATACCAAAAGTAGATGATCTCATTGTATATTTTCATTACCTTATATATGACATAATATATTTAGGAGAGAGAAAGGTCTAGAGAGAGATTCACAGGGGGGAGAGAGGTTTATGTAGAAGGGAAAAAAATAGATAGAGATATCATTTAAAATTTTGTTTGGGCCAATAATATATTATCAAAAGAGGTTAACGGAGTCCAGGGGGTTCGAACATATATTATTTCAAATCCTTATGCCTTTAAAAAGTTTTTGAAACCTTAGGTCTATTGAAAAATGATATACTAACATTTGGTGTACAAAGATATTTCACCTTACATAAATTCGTTATTGTTGAAATACTATGAACATTTATTCAACACCTGAAGCATTTGTTGGCACTTAGTAGTCTTCACATAATTCTCAAAATGGAAGGTATGTAATGAAATCATTTACCTTTATTACAATGTTGTCACAATTAATCTTGACTATTGGATGTGAAACTGAATTATTTACCTTTATTACAAGGTTGTCACAATTAATCTTGACTATTGGATGTGAAACTAGGTGGATGCATTTACTTCATTGACCAAGCTTAAAGTTCTAAAGGAAATTTTTAGAACTTTATACTTCATCTAAGCTATCAAATTTCAAATTGTATGTTTATAAATAATTGTGACTTCTTTGTACCAAAAGTAAATCGTTTCATTGTATATAAGCCCTTTAAAGATATTTGAAGGCTTTTATGTTTTTAAGAAACATAATTATTATATGAGCCAATTGGCGTACAATGCTTTGTAAATTGGATGGCTAAAATTGGAGGAGGAAACAATGAGCAACCTAATTTTTGTGCGTTAAATTAAGATTTTGAGCAAAATAAGGGTCCGATAGAATCCCAAAACATGCGGGCCTAATTTATATACTAAAAATATAATTGGATAAAATTTAGGTAAAAAAAGTATTTATTAATGGTAATTTATTTGGTTCTTCTCAATCTTGCATGTCCAGGCCGCTCATAAAATCATCTCCCTTCAACCCTATTGAAGTAAAAGATGTGGTTTATGTTTTAAAACCTTGATTGGTGGGGAAGAATAACCTATATATCTGTGGCAGATTATTGGATCGGCAATCTAGACCGGGTCTTGATAAGTCAGAATTAGTGATTAAAAAATTATTAAAAATATATACAATAAAACTAAAATTAAAATAATGATTTATGTATTGGAGATTTATAATAATTTTATAAATATTATATAAACTTAAAAAAAAAAATTAAAGGGCCAAAATGTATATTAATTTAGAACCAGTTTAATCGCAACATATTCCCATCGAAACCAGCAATCTGGATAAAAAATTACTTTAATTTTTAAACATCGGATGTGACAGGTTTTTTTGACTTCACGGGACAACCGTACTCTACAGTTAAAACCTAAATTATTATTATTATTTTTAAAATATCAAACTTAATTCTTTCTCATCTATCTCACAAATAAAGAATTTTGTAAATTGTTTTCCCTTCCACTGCCCTTGAATCCCTACCCCCTCTAGAAATTGGAAAACCAAAACATGCTAAACCTAACACCTCTCTCTCTCTCTCTAACGAAAAACCCTAAAAAAGTAGAGAGAGAAATGCTCTTGCGGTATTGAAGGTTGAAACAAACCCACTAACCGCTAGCCTCTTGTCTCTCTACAATATACCCCCCTCTACCAAGCCGCCTATCTTTCTCTCTCTTCCCCCTCCTCTCTCTCTCTCTATCTCATATTCACCCCCGTGTGCATTAAAAGTGGGCAAACAAGGAGCACCGATAAAAATATTATCGCGTTTAGAGAACCAGAGCAGCAGCTACCCTGAACTTGTTTTTCCGTCCTCTCTCTCTCTCTCTCTCTTCGTCTCTCTCTCTCTCTACTCTACTACTCTCTCTCTCTACTCTCTCTCTCTCTCTACTACTCTCTCTACTACTCTACTCTCTACTCT